TCAAGGAACAACTCATTAGCAAGGAAGCAAGATCGACACCGTGAGACCCTCTTGCCACTTGTTGGCATTTCCCCAAAGTCCTCTTCAATGACTTGGTTTTCTTACTTGAATAATTCCTGATTGAGTTCAGAGGCCATGTCACAGTGTCGCGTCTTGAAGGAGGCATGACCTCATAGGAGGTAATGGAAGAAAACGTACTACCACCATCTAGCAATCACACTGCCATTAAGAAAAAGGATTTATTCTTCCACGGTCACAGCTTGACTCTTAGTTTCGCACTAGGGTTTTTGACACAGCTCGGCTTTCCTTTCATTTTTCACTGAAACAGGACTCCCGGAATCTGTTAGCCAGCTTGACCGCCGCTAAGTTCAAATTAAATAGTGAAACAGGCATTTGGGTAAGTATCCTGTTAACTTGAGCACAATTACCGAAGGGAAAAATGAATTCTCTTGTGCCGTCATTCACAGACAGGGTTGTGAGCTCAGGTGTACAGCCCTTTGTGTGACTGGTCAGAACAGGAACAGCCCAATAGAAGAGGGGAAAAAACATTGTGCGCATGTCCTTTTGCTCAGTTTCTGTTTAGAGAATGTAAGCCTGGCTTTGGATCCTGAATCAGAAGGGCATAGTCACCTCAGAGCCATGAGGTCAAGTAGTTTCAACTCTTGCTTTATAGGTCTGGATCCATCTGGGTTTTGCAACCAAGCATGATCTGGGAAGATGGAACTGAAATCTCATCCTGGCGCATGAGAGTTATAGCCGCAGGATCTCTCTCCTTTAGCAAGCTGCATTGCTGAACAAGAGGATCTTAACAGATTGTGTTGGAATGACATGGAGCCCTTTTCCCAGATGAGAAGCAGATGGCATCACCAATTGAGTTTCCATTTATTTGTCATTAATGGGAGTTTGCAGAAACTGTACAATGTAACCGTCAGAAGAGCTACAAACATCTGATGGTGTAAACTATTCGCTGAGTTTCCTGGTGAGATGCTATGGGTTGTCATACAACCAAAATAAACGTTATTCTTTTAATAGTGCGATTAAATAAAACCTAATTTTCCTTAATGAGGGCTTTATGCCTGTTTTAAGACAATGGTGACATTATTTGCTTTGCAAATGCAAGCCATAAATGACTAGTTAGCAGATTGCTAAGAATAGACTGACATAATGATCTGCTACTTTCCCCCTTATTATCGATAAGACAAAAAGGCTGACTTCTCAAAAATTTACGCATTGATGTTTTCAACAGATGGGGATGTATCTTAATTTCACCTTGCTTTTGATAAATCTATACAAAAACTGCAGAATTTCATAGAATCATAGCCTGGATTCGTATTAGTATTTTTTTGAAAGGTTTGTATAACTTGCTAATTGCTGAAGTGTAGGGCATATTTCAGTTTTGTAACATGTATTGTAGCCAAGAGTGCTTTTCATCAACTTTGCCCCTATCTGGAAAGGACTAGCAATAGCAGTTCATCCTTTGGTAATCTTCAAAATAGACTACTGTAATGCTTTCTAGCTAGGGCTGCCCTTGAAGCTAGTACAGAAGCACCAGCAGGTCCCAAATGTGGCAGCCAGACTGATTATAGGTACCAAAAGATATGAAAAAGAATCAGAATCCCATAAAAATCTCATTTTGTACAGAATCTGTATTTTTGAAGGCTTTCATAGCCAGGATCCGATGGTTGCTGTAGGTTTTTTTGGCTGTTTGACCATGTTCCGAAGGTTTTTTTCCTAACGTTTCACCAGTCTCTACGGCCGGCATCTTTAAAGGACAAGAGTTAGAACTCTGAAGATGCCGGCCACAGAGACTGGCGAAATGTTAGGAAGAAAAACCTTAGGAAAACGGCTGAACAGCCCGAAAAACCTATGAATAGAATCTCTTAGCAGCTAATGCTAGCAAGACATCTCAAGTGTTATTGACAAGCAAACCACAGCAGGCTATGTACTTAGTGTTCATGTGCATCTTAATGTTCATGTGTTCATATGCAAGTGGCCAGGATGAAGGGCAAACACAGGGATAATCCTCAGCAATGCTTCTCAACAGGAGGCTAGCTGGAGCTCAATTCCTCTCCACATTTGACAGCCACCATTTTAGATTCATTTAAACACAACGACTAGCATTAGTACAGCTCTCCCCAGTGTGAAGACCATTTTTTAAACCACCTTACCTGCCATGTAGCTAAAAATGAACAGAAGGTCCTATGGGATAAGCAGTAACCGTTGGGCTATAATAGCTTAACATGGCTGGAGAACTTCCTCATCCATTTGGACCCGTCATCTTCCACGAATGGGCCGAATGTACATTCAGGACAGGAGAGAGATTATAACATCTTCTTCAGTGCCTTTATTAATAATCTGGTTTACATTTCTTCAAGTAAAAAGTTCTCCGTTTCTTGTCAATTAAAAATTAAAATATAACTCTGCATATAGTTCCCCCCCCCATTCTGTACATGAAACGGTATCTACAGATACATACAGAATACAATCTTGTACAGTGGAATTAACAGGCATGCCACATTGGCCCGCAGATAGCAAAGGTGCTGATTCTCCATCTGTTCGGATATGTACACCAAGCATGTGTTCGAAAAAGAGCTTTCCCCCAGACGCTCTCAAATTGTAACCTCCTGTTCCATGCTACCTTTAAAATTTTTTTTTAAATTTTTTTTTTAAAATTTTTAAATTTTTAAAAAATTCATTTTAAATTTTTTAAAAAGAATTTAAAAATTTTAAAATTCTTTTTTTTAAATTTAAATTTAAATGAGATTGCCAAGGCAGGATTTTAAAATGCAAACAGGCAGAAGCGAGCTTGGGACTGTGGCTTCCGGCTGCCTCCAAAATCTGTTTGCATGTCTTTCTTTTTTTCTTTTTGCCATGCCACTGTTACCATAGGGTGTGATCAGATGGTGATAGTAGATTGCAGTGAAAAGGGTCTCCCAGAAATCCTGGCTAGTGCTGTGGTGCAGGCTTCTGGGAGTTTTTAGTCCAAGAACATCTGGGGACCTAAGGTTGGAAACCTTTGCCCAAGGTGGTCCAAAAATGAGCTAAATTGCAGTCTAATCACACCTGAAGTCCACTCTTTTCATTCTGGTTGGTCAGAGGTCTGGAAGTGCAGACTTATCATTGGACCGTGCTATTCAGTGCCATAGTCCAATCGCAAAGCTGCTCCTGCACACCTCACACCAATCAGAATGAAAGGAAGACGCCACCTACGTCTCTCTCTGGCCTATCATTTTGTTTGCATCTTCGCTGTAAAGGTCCATTTCCGGTCAAGGCCCGGTCCCCACATTGCCAGGGTGAGCAGGAGGGCCCCTCTATGGAGGAAGGCTGGATTGCCACATTTTGACGTGAGTGAATTAATATACAATTCATTCCGTAATTAGGAACTTCTATAGGATGATGAAATCCAGAGTCTTGTTGCACAACTGTGGTCAACACTGTCTTGATTAAATCATGCTGGCTATGGGATTCAAAGGGCTTCCATCTTATATATATGGTTACTTTATGTTACTTTTTAGGAAAAGCCCCTTAAGACCTAGGAAAGCGCCTATTAAAATGTTTCTAAATATGCCCTTTAAAAGTACAATTTCAAAGTAACTAAAAATTGTTAACTGTTATCCCTATAAGGGAATGGTAATCATACTGTTAGTTTTGAAATGCAAGTTTACTACATCCTCTTCACTCCCAAAGGTTACGAGTTACAAGTAATAGCATTCACTGGAAAATGTCGTTTCCAAACTAATCCATACTACCTCAATGTGACAGAGCTTTTCCCAAAGTACCCCAAAAACCTGGTGTGTGGAACTGAGAGTTATGCCACATTTTTCAGCAGAGAATCTGAAAGCACCGCCCATTAAATTGCTTTTTCCCAGGGTTTTCTGAAGGGAGGTGAAATAGTACACAGGGATGCAAATGGAGAAGTTGGAAATGTTATTGGTTTGGACTACATATCCCAGAAGCTCCAGGGGATTCTGGGAGCTGTAGTCAGAAAAAGTAATGTTTGTAACTGAAGTTCTTTTTTTGAAGACTACGAAACAGAGTGAAACAGTTGCCTCTACCAGAGGGAAGTGACTTGAAGATGAGGCTTCGGGTGTCAGGTAGATTGCTTCTGTTAGGTACAGGATGAGGTCTCACCATCGGTGTAGAAGGAGGATTTGATTACCACTCTAGGTTTGCTTCTGCCTGTGGAATGTGAGGAGGAAAGGATTCTCCTTTTGTGTCTCAGCTCAGGCAGCAGCAGGTCTGTGACACACTTTGAAGATGAATATATACACAAAAATGGAGTGCTGACACCTCCAATTTTCAGGATATGAGTTACAGCAGAGGTGGAATACTGGATGCCCAGGAGCTGAATTTGGCCTTCTTGGGGTTGCAACCACCCTTCTCCATGTTGTTTAGTCATTAAGTTGTGTCCGACTCTTTGTGACCCCATGGACTAGAGCACGCCAGGTCCTCCTGTCTTCCACGGCCTCCCGAAGTTGGGTCAAATTCATGTCGGTAGCTTCGATGACACTGTCCAGCCATCTTGTCATCTGTCGTCCCTTTCTCCTCTTGCCTTCACACTTTCCCAACATCAGGGTCTTCTCCATAGTATACCGTATTTTTTGCTCCATAAGACGCACAGACTTTCCACCCCCCTGTTCTGTGGGGAAAAAGTGTGTCTTAATACGATAATTATTTGATAGAATTCCACCTGCCAGGACCCTTTCCTCCTTGTTCTCATAGGCTTAAGTGCATCTCCAAAGCATTTAATAACAAGCAGTCAGATCTTTAAGCTAACATAAACTCATATTTTGGAAGGACAGATCCTGAAGCTGAGGCTCCAAGACTTTGGCCATCTCATGAGAAGAGAAGACTCCCTGGAAAAGCCCCTGATGTTGGGAAAGTGTGAAGGCAAGAGGAGAAGGGGACGACAGAGGACGAGATGGTTGGACAGTGCCATCAAAGCGACCAACATGAAATTTGACCCAACTCCAGGAGGTCGTGGAAGATAGGAGGGCCTGGCGTGCTCTGGTCCATGGGGTCACAAAGAGTTGGACATGACTTAACAACTAAACCACCACAACAAAACTCATATTTGTTGGTCCCATCCCTTTGTGTCCAGCCCCACTGAGGAATGAAGCCCCCAAATGCTTCTGTAATGTTGAACTCTGGACTTTGGGTGGAAATTGGTTCTTTGCCCTTGGTTTACTGGCTGGTTCCTTGTATCATATCTGTCTTTGCTCTTGTACCCTGCCATCACGGATGATTCTTCGCTAGATCCTAATCTTGACAAACGCCAACGGGAATCTTGGACGGAGAAAAGAGGGTCTGCTCAGCAGCAGCCTTGATGTGTTTTGGAGTTACTCAGTTCTAGGGAAAAGGGCTGCCCTCAGTTGCCATACTGGGAATAAAAAGCCAGTTTGACGCGTTCAATCTGGTGGCACAGTTTGATAGCGGGACCAAGCTTCAGGTCCATGCATTCCTGCACCGTTGGCAGGGTCAGCAGCAGGAGAGCTTGGCCGTCAATATCCTGCCAAAGGGAACAAGAAGAGGGTTGAAAAAAATGATCATCTTTGGGGTGAAAAGGTCCCCTAGTGGCTAGTGGCTATGCTGGCCGAGGAATTTTGGTGATTTGTATCACCCCCCCCCCTCACCTTTGGGGTGAAAAGGGCCCCTAGTGGCTAGTGGCTATGCCGGGCGAGGGATTTTGCCGGTTTGGATCAACCCCCCCCCCCGAATAAGCCACCTTTTTGTGAGCTCGGCATTTTAGGAATTGCACCATTCCGTGGTGTGTCAACACGCGGACTGGAATAGTGGGGCACTCCACCCCAAAATTTCAAGAGGGTGGTGCCCCCTTACCCCACACCCTCCCTGCCAGGGGTCCTTAAAAGAGAGGAGCGGGAGAGAGATTCGGAAGAGGCCGTACAAGGAAGTACCTGTTCCTGAAATATTTTAGCAAGAGGAGCACAGTCTGTGAGCTTGATAAATCTCACCACGTCGGACACTGTCCACTCCAAGGGGTTGCTCTCCAGAATGAGCGTCTCCCCTGGTTTTTGTTTTATCTCCTACAGGCAAGGGGAAAAAGAGAGAGAGAGAGAGAATCAACAACTTAGGCTGGACTTATTCCATTAGTCTCAGGATGGACTCTCCATTAAAATTTAATTTAATTTAACTTATGGATGTAAATATGTATGTTCTAGACCGCCCAGTTAGTGGCAACCTGCTTCATTCATTCATTCATTCATTCGTTCGTTCGTTCGTTCGTTTGTTCGTTCGCTTGTTTGCTCGTTCATTCCTTCATTCATTCATTCGCCTGTTTTCTAACATTTGTATCCCACTCCCATTTTTATCACAGCACTACCCTGGGCAGGTTGCAACACATATAATAATAATAATAATAAAAAGGACACAATAACCCTAAAAAATAACCAAACCAGATGGCACCGACGAATCCCTAGAGCGCATGGAGGAAAAGAGGGGAGGGAAGAAGAGGAAGAGAGAGAAGAAAAAAAAAGAGGAGGAAGGTGGTCAGCCGGGGTTAGGGTGGAAGGCTTCCCTGAAAAGCAAGGGGGGGAAAAAAAGAGGAGGAAAGTGGTCAGCCGGGATTAGGGTGGAAGGCTTCCCTGAAAAGCAAGGTCTTTGACAAAAGATTTTGTCATTAACAGCTCTGCTCTCGTCCTGCAAAACTTGCAAATACTTAAATACAAAACCTATGCCACTTTGGATACCTGAGAGAATTACATCAAACCTGGATAATGCCTGTCTAAAGGCTCCAAAAATGCTTCAAAAATTACTTTTCATAAGTTACTGAACATCATTCTTCACACCTAAAAGGATTTTTTAATTGGTTGTTGCATTACATTTGCTGTAACTGTAACTATTCATTATAATACCTTACCTAAAAGTAACTAGTTACAGATATTAGTGTTATTTGTAACAAGTTCCTTCCAACCTCCGTCCTTGCATCAGAGAAAGTGAACGTTTGGATATGAACCGTTGTCTGTAAAATAAATGTTCCATACCTTCATCCCTATTGTGTGTAGTCTTTCTTTTCCAAGTCTCAGATGGAAATGCATAAACTAGCTCCCAGTAGGGAGATGGGGATGAGCACTGCGCCCTAGGGTCTGACACGACTGGACTAAATGTCAAGGGGAACCTTTACCTTTACCTAGTTCCCAGCACCATCATCAGAAGTTGGTGTAATAGCTATAGGGGCACATTGAGTGTGTTGCAAGCAGCTATTGGACAGTGTCCATGCTGAGGAAGCCCTTCCCTCCTCTTCCATTGTAATACATTTGAGGAAAAGTTTTAAAACTTTTTAAAGGAGTATAAAACAAAGATTGCCTATAGAACACACAGCCTTAAAAGACATATCCATGGGGTTTCTTTGAACGGCTGGCCTTCCCTCACTCAGTATTTTCAAAAACAATTTCTCAGGCATGCAATTAACTCTCCCATTGACGTCCAGTTGATTTCACGGTTTAATTGACTTGCAGGTTCTAAGAAACACTTATAATTAGGAATCAATCCTCATATTAATTGTATTCTCCCTTTCCTATAGAGTTAACAAGCTACCAAAGCCAGATTATTAAGGGGTAAAGGTAAAGGTTCCCCTTGACATTTAGTCCAGTTGTGTCCGACTCTAGGGCACAGTGCTCATCCCTGTTTCCAAGTCATAGAGCCAGCGTTTGTCCTAAGACAGTTTCCATGGTCACGTGGCCACCACGTATTAAGGGGTAAATGGCTCCAATTGCTTCTCAGCAATAATTCAGAAATTATGGTCTATATAATTACATTCTAGTGGAAGAATGAGATTTAGTTGACATCCATTCCAGTGTTAACTCATACATGTAAAATTGCATTTGGCATTATCGCTGATTGTAGGGAATACAGTACAAATATTAGACATTGATGGTAAGTCTGCAACCCATTAGCACCCCTGAATACTTGATTTCTTCATGTTTCTCTTCAACTCAAAACTGCTTCTAGCTGTGAATAGAAATCAATACTGAATGGTCAGCCCTGTTTCTCATACTGCTGCATAAAGTAGCCATTGTCTTGTTCAATACGGAGTTTTTACCATATCAGGGTCATTTAGACCTCAGTGGCTTGGCTTCATTTTCTTCCAATCACTTTAGTTGCAATATTACTATGAGCCTACATTTAGACCACTCCTAGCATAGTGTTGATGTGTGGTTTGGTTTGTGAAGGTAGCATGAGTTAATGGAAATATTTACACCTTGCTACATCTGGCTGTAGAGCCAGAGAGTGAGAGTTTGATTCCCCCACTGTCTTTCCTCACCTCCAAACCAGCCTGGGTGGCCTTGGGCAAGCTGCACACAGCCCCAGGGTGCACCCCCAAGAAGGGAATAGGAAACCACTTCTGATTATTCTCTATCTGGGAAACCCTGATGTCAGAATTAAATTGATGGCACATACAATGGTGCCTCGCATAGCGACATTAATCCGTGCAGCAAAAATCACTGCTAAGCAATTTCGTCACTATGCGATTTTTAAAAGCCCATAGAAACGCATTAAAACCTGTTTAATGCGTTCCTATGGGCAAAAAACTGACCTTAAAGCGAAGATCCTCTATACGGCGGCCATTTTGGCTGCCTCTAAAGCAAGGAATCTGCGCGAAAACATAACGGGCGGCTATTTTTTACCCGGCGGCCATTTTGGAACCGCCGATCAGCTGTTAAAAAATCATCGCTTTGCGATGATCGGTAAGCGAAACAGGGAACCGATCATTGCAAAGCGAAAAAACCCCATAGGAAACATCGCAATGTGATCACTTTTGCGATCGCAATAAGTTAATCGCTATGCGGTTTCATCGCTAAATGGAGTGCCCGTTAAGCGAGGCACCACTGTATTCTTTATCATTATCATTCCCAGTGAGCAGGGTGGCTGGCTGCATAGCTCAGTAGTTTAGGACTCTGGCTGCGGAGCCACAGACTGGGAGTTTGATTCTCCACTGGGCCTCTTGGGATAGCAGCCAGCCTGCGTGGCCTTGGGCCAGCTGCACCATAGTCCCAGGGTATCCCCAGAAGAAGGGAATGGTAAAGCACTTTCGAGTCTTCTCCACCATTAGTCAGAATTAATTTGATGACACATGATGATGATGTTTCATAGAGGACAGGGTTGCTGAGCTGCAACATTGTTTAAAGTCACCAACGTCTCATTCATTTGAGGTTTTAGTTCAGATATTACAGGACCTCTCCAAGGTGCTGATTCCTGTCTTAGGAATAATTTTTAGCAGGCTGCAAAGTTCAGGCTAAATGCAGAACGGATAATCCTTCTCTCTGCCTTGCCTCTGTGCCAACCCTCCATGGTCTTGAGGGGCTCTCCAGAGCAGGACAAAAATTGAGCGGTCACAACAATGATGATGGAGTTGTGGAACAGAGTGTGCCATTGGTGGTGGTGGTCCTATATCAGGCATGTTCTTCCAGAAGGGGGTAGAGAAGCCTGTCCAGCAACCAATCAGCTGCATAGAGGAAACCCACTACTGGTATTCATGTGCAGACTGTTCTCCTTTGCTGAGCATCTCTGAGATGGCTGGGCCCCACCCATGCTTCAGCAAACTTGAAAAAACCTCCCTCCAGACTTTTCTCCCACTTTTAATCTTGATGCGAATATGCTAAATGAGCGCTACAGTGTTGCTTGTAAGGCTACATGGCCCAAAACCTCTTACCCAATTATGTCTGTGTAGCACAAACAGTGTAACCTTTGGAGGAGAATTGCCCGAAAAGTTAAGAAATCACTGCGAGTGTTACCCATCGCACAGTGAGCCAGACAACTCAGTGTACAATTCATGATGTCTAAGTTGATTTCTTAACTTAGGCAATCTGTCCACAAAAGTTACACCGTTTGCGTAACTACATAAGAAGATTTTGGCCTCTGTGAAAGAAGCAGAGAGAGAGGGTGAACAAGAGCCGTATTTGAGCCGGGGAGCAGTTTAGGACATGCCAGGGGTTGTGAACTGAATTGTCCCGGTTGGGACAGATTTGTGCGAACTCCAGGTCAATGTGGAACAGCCAGTTTTGTTTTCCAGTGCATTGGCTCTGATCTTACAAATTTCCCATCTACCCACCTCCCTATTCACACATTAGGGATGTGAGAAGCCCCTCAACCCCACTACACAGCTGAATAAAGGACACAGAGATTGGAAGCAACCTGCCCTGTGCTCTTTTAAGAAACAACGCAACATACTCCACAGCTGCCTGGCAAATTCTGGGACTGGTAGTAAAAAACAACAACAACCCATAAATCTACACAAGACTGTTTTGCATGTCAGCACCCAGAACCCCCAGGCAGTATGGCCATTGGCAATGGTTACTGTAGTCAGAAACATCAGAGAAGTCAAAGGTTCTTCCATTCCTTCCACTGAGTTGCAAATTCCAGCTGTTCTTGGGTGCAAAAACTGGATTTCCTTGGTACAGTACAGAAGTCACCACCCCCTACAAGAACCATGTGCCTAGGCTTTGCTGAATTTGCTTGTATTCTTCATAAACAACGGCAGTCCATCAGAATCAGGGGAACAGCTGAGGATCTCACCTGTCTGAGATGATCTCTCCTCTCTCCTTTCGCCCGTAAGATGGACAACGCCATCCGAGCGCTCCTTGCCCGCCCAGTGTGAGTGACTCGGTCCAGATCCGCACGGCTGCGCAATGTCATGGCCCTGCTGGGTTTGACCGGAGGCAACTCTGCAGGAGGGAGGTCTGTCTGTTCATGGAGCCATTCCGGACTGGTCTCCTCACTCCATGTTTCATTGTCCATAGCTTCTGCTTCTTTCTCGTCACTCTCCTGCAAGGAAGAGGGATAGAGAAATGAACCACAATGAAAAGGATCCTAGGCCCTGGGTGGCTGCAGTGGAAATCTATCATCCTCTGTTTAACCACACCTCATTTCTAAGGATGAAGTGGATGAATCAGGAAGGTTTATGAAAAGCAGGGATGGGGAAAGATGATGAAATCAGCAACCACCTCCCGAAACCTTGGATCTATGGAGAGTTCCACCATTCCATTCTTGTTCCTACAAAACGGAGTTGGAGGTTAAAACAAGATGCAGGGGGCAGTGTCTCTGGGAAGGAAATCACACACAACCTGGGACAATGGTCCCCAAATTTGGGTAACCTAGATATACCTGGACTGCAAACCCCAGAAATCCTGGGCTTCTGGGAGTTTTAGCCCAAGAATATCCGGGTTACCCAAGGTTGGGAACTATTGCTCTTGAAGCTTCCAGAGATGCTAATTCCCCATATGTTCTTTGAAAGAATGACAACTCTAGAGACCAATAGGTTATGTCTGTGTGATTCAGCTCTCAAACAAGGCAAACACCTCTGTCCCATTTTAGCCCCCAAACCTGGTATTTAAGAAGAGAGAGGTATCTCTCTGTGTGTCCAGGCACAACAAAATCAGTCTGGGGAAGTACATTTTTTCCACCCCTGACATAAACAAAGAGGTGGCATATAGTAATTACTCCATATTCATGGGGGATTGGTTCTAATTCCCCCCCCCGTGGATGTTGGAAACCGTAGATACTAGTGAATGCTTTGCACTGAGCGGGCAGTTGACTCGATGACCTTGCAGGTCCCTTCCAATTTCATGATTCTATGAGAGCATGAAAAAAGAAAAAAAAAGCAGAAAAGTATTTTCACAATGTATTAACAAATCTGGACATTAAAGGGTGCCAGAGAACATGCAGTGTACAGTGGTGCCTCGCTAAATGATGTTAATCCGTTCCGTGAAAATCGCTGTCTTGCGAAAACATCGTTTAGCGAAATGTGGTTCCCCACTGGAATGCATTGAAATCCATTTAATGTGTTCCAATGGGAAACTCATCGTTTAGCAAAAATCGCCCATAGGGAAACATCGTCTTGCGAGCGCGGGTCCCTATTGGAATGCATTGACAGCTACTCAATGCATTCCAAGGGGGAAAATTGTCATCTAGCGAAAAAATCACCCATAGGGAAGCATCATTTTGCGAAGCGCAACAGCGATTGCAAAAACCCATCGTCTAGCGAATTCCTCGTCCCGTGAGACAATCATCTAGTGAGGCACCACTGTATTTGTCAACAAGAAGAAATATATAGTGTGGTCTCTGGCTCCGTCTAGTGGCCAGTTCTGGCACTACTATCATGACAATACTATTTTTAGTTTTTTTTTAAATATATTGTAAATATTTTCAGATCACACATATGTGAAACCACAGATACCAATCCTGAAAATACAGGGGTTCCTACTGTATTCATGGGGCTGGACTATCTCCTTTCTGGCTCCTTTTACACCTGCCAAACCTGCTGCAAAAGAAGGTCAGAATCCAGATTTCACCTCGGCAGATTCTGCTGGATAGGCATCTGGTGTAGACAATCGCCTTTTCCTTTGGGCAAAAATGAGCTTCCGCCTCTTCCTGCGTCGGGCTGGTCTGCTGTGCCTGCTCTCCAGGCTCTGACTGTCACTTTCCGCAGTTGGAAGCTTCAGGTCTCTCCCTCTTTTTCCATCAGAGCAGGCTGGAAGACATCGTGGACAGCAAAATCTTAGGCAGACACCAAACTATCCCATGGGGCTGAGCTAGACCAGACCAGCAGGGTACCTATACAAGGTGCACATTCCAGTTACAGAACCCCAAAAAGCTGATCAATACTAAACAGCTGTATAAAACAAAGTACGTAATACAGAAAAATCTCAGTTTGTCACTACTAAATGTGAAAGTGCAGCTGCTCGGTATTCGAGCCTTCATCACAAGCCCTCTCCCCTAAGGAGAGTTCAAAACTGCAGGCAGCTAATTTGGTGCACATCAACAATCACCCTTTCATAACCAACTCATCCTCAAATACTCTGTACACAAGAGGGGTGCTTCACAACAATATACGATTCCTGGGAAAACCAATTTAACTCTCATCTCCAGTGAAGGTGGCAGCAAAGCTTAGAAGGAATAGGAAGGCTTGAGTAAGACAGTGGATGATATTGTAATCCCTGCTACATTACTTTGACCCTGGCAGCACTGGCTCTATGGCACTGCTGATTTAGTAATTGCTTAGGAAGAATTTATACAGTCGTGCCCTGCTGGACGATTACCCCGCTCTACGTTGACGTTTTTGTGATCGCTTTTGCGATTGCAAAACGATGGTCTAAATGGGGGAATTTCGCTTAGCGATGATCAGTTCCCTGCTTCAGGAACCGATTTTTGCTTTACGATGATCAGCAAACAGCTGATCGTCGGGTATCAAAAAGGCCACCAGCTGAAGAAAATGGCCCCCCGCTCTTTTCTAGGATGGATTCCTCACTTTACAGGCACCGAAAATGGCCGCCATATGGAGGATCTTCCCTGGATGAGCAGGTATTCAGCCCACTGGAACACATTAACCGGGTTTTAATGCATTTCAATGTTTTTTTAAAATTTCGTTTGACGATGTTTTCGCTCTACAGTGATTTTGCTGGAACGAATTAACATTGTCAAGCGAGGCACCACTGTACTAGCTTATTCATGCTGCCGGTGCCCATACTTCCTCTCTACCTCCCTTGGAGGATTGCAATGCCTTGCAAAGAATGTAGGAACCAAAGAAAAGCTGTGCAATCAAAGTCAGTGTGGGACTAGTGGTTAGAGTTCTGGACAGCATCCTGGAAAATCTAGGTTCAAGTCACACTCAGTTGTGGAACTCAGGGCTGGTTCAGACTGGCCATTTTGGTGCAAACTGGATTAGGCTGCAACGGGTTGGCTGAAGTCAGGGGGAGGAGGTATGCATCATTTAGCATGTGACTCCCATCCAAACAACATTATCGACCTTTGGCTCATTCCATGTCGATTAAATGCTGCCCCTGATCAGCTGCAGAGGTCAGGAGAAGTGAGGTTATTTTTATTGCATCTCTTGGATTATGACTGATGCGATAACTCACTTCAATTAAAATTTAAAAAAATATATATTTTCTTTGTTTGTGTCTCACCAATCAAAATGATGGCAGCGGGCAGATTCTTGACAAGCAAAGAAAAGAAACTTCAATTTAAGTGAAGTGATTTAGCACATCAGCAATAATCTAGCAGATGTGAAAAATAATCATTTCACTTCACCTGCCCCTCTGCAGAAGTGTTCAATTTTTGATATCCTGAAATGCTAGTAAACAGCTTCAAGATACTGGAAATTGATACTGGAAGGAGCTGAAAGGTTCCAGTTTGGGCTATTTCAAGCAACCATACTTACTGGGAACAAACTAAACTGGAGCTCTCCAAGGCACACCAAAATAGTAGATTCCACACACACCCCAACAAGGGTTCATAAAGGTGTGGGTTGGGGCAAATTGGTCCACTCCAGCAATACCCACATATGGATGCCAAAAAAGAATGGACCAACCCAGTCCCTCAGCACATCAATTTGTGGGGACAAATGCCTGCATGGATAGGCTCTCACTTAGCAATTTTGCGCCATATGCTTGCGCCATTTCTCAGTGTGATCAGAGCTTGTAAGTTACAGTTCAGAGATATTAGTTACTTGTAACCAGTTACTTTTTGTGTAACCCGTTACTTTTTGTTATGAGGATGTAACAAAGTTGCATTTTAAAAGTAACATCTCGAGTAGCAACAAAGTTAGTTCACTACATGTTAATGATGCACCACACAACGGCTGAAATCCTGTTGCTTATCATAGTGAGACATGACTAGAGCAGGCCCCGTGAATCAGTGGAACCTATGGAGGAGTTGACTCACCAAATCCCCACTTGCTTAATGGGTCTACTCTAGTTGCAACTGATGACATTAAGCAACAGGGCTTCAGCCAGAAAATTACTTGCGTGACTTCCAAGAAGTAATGAGTAAATGCAATGAGTTCCTTTTACAATGAAACTCAACAAGCTTTGTACTTGATGCATCTGCCATCTGGGTGACCGATGCCAGAAGCCTTGACTGGCCCAGGGCAACTGGCCATGACTTTCCGTAAGGACATGCTAATTCTATGCTTCTTTCACCAAAATTTCACTCCTGTTGTTGCTGCTGCTGCTGTTAAGTGTTTCCGACTTCAAGGCCCAATTCTATGCTTCTTTTACCAAAATTTCACTCCTGTTGCTGCTTCTGCTGTTAAGTGTTTCCGACTTCAAGGCCACCCTATGACTCAGTGATGTCCAGAAGGTCTTGTCGTGAAAAGGCCTGCTCAGGGCTTGCAAATTCAAAACCATGGCTTCCTTAATGGAGTTAACGCTACTTGGTTTTCCTCTTTTCCTACTGCCTTCCGTTTTTCCTAGCACTATTTTCTCTTTTTCCCCCCCAGCCTTCGTTTGGTCTACTCACGGTATCTCGTCCTGGAGAGGACGGAGCAGTTCTCAGGGCAGGCGTCAGTAACTGGAACGGGGCTGAATAAATACGGGCAGCATTCCAGCTTGGCGCAAACTCTCCTGAAGAAATCCAAGACCTGGTCAGCCGTACGGACGATCTTGACGGTCGCCCTGTAGGTCTTCCCTCGGCATCTGTTTCGGCAAACATTCACCTATATCAGCCATGAAATGTTAACAATTGCAAGACCGTTTTCGTCTGGCCCTTCTAAACTCCCATTTCCGCTCAAGGACAAATTCATGGGCTGGCTGATTTTTTAAATTAATTAATTAATTTTTTATTTATTTGATTTATACCCCGCCCATCTGGCCTGTAAGACCACTCTAGGCGTTAAGGGTTGGTCCCACCGAGGAGGGAAAGATCATTCCTCTTTGAGGAAAAAGAGTGCCTTTTACGTCAAGAGACCACGTCAAAGAAGTGGGAAACCACGATGAGATTTTTTCACTCCGACACCAGAAGCTCAGCATTCTTTTTGTCCCTAAACCACACTTGCAAAAACAGCTGTGTTTTTTTTTTTCACACACAGGGACACAACTGCCGTTTTGCATGAAAGGCTCTGTTGTGTTGTGCAAAACGGAAGGTTTTCGGCACCAAATGCAAGGTCTTCCGTGCCAAAGGCTACATCTTTGGTGCTAAAGAGTTTTCTTGCACAAAGACCCTTTCACAATATTTTGCAAGAGGCTAACATTAAAAAAAATAAGGGGAGGGGGAAAAAGGAAATCTGCCACTTTTGTAGACAAAAATGAAATAAGCAAAGATGTACATTTCCAGCATCCACACACCTCCCACTAGAGGCTTCCTGTAAAGTGGGAGATCCCTGCAAGATTCCCATCCCAAATATGGAACAACAAAGACCCTTTCACAATATTTTGCAAGAGGCTAACATTAAAAAAAAAGGGGGGGGGAAAGGAAATTGGCCACTTTTGTAGACAAAAATGAAATAAGCAAAGATGTACATTTCCAGCATCCATACACCTCCCACCAGAGGCTTCTTGTAAAGTGGGAGATCACACAGGATGTGATGATGATGATTGGCAACAAGCCCTAGCCACACCTCCCACTAGAGGCTTCCTGTAAAGTGGGAGATCCCTGCAAGATTCCCATCCCAAATATGGAACAGATTTTATTGCCTGTTGCTCCAGAGTGCAGGCCTATAAATGATGGCTGGGAATAACAAAGAAGCAGATTTTGAATAAACCAATAGGAGAAACACCCTAACAGGGAGAGCTTTTCAACAGTGCAACAGACTTCCTCAGGAGGAAGGTAGCTGCTTTTTCCTAGGATGTGATGATGATGATGATTGGCAACAAGCCCTAGCTGATGGGACATGTCAAAACAATATCAACAAAGTTGTATTTCAAGTAATCACTGGGGTGGTGGTAATGGTGGCTGAGTTGACAGCCAGGTGGGAACGAGCACCTTCACCTCCCTTGGTTTTCTGCATGGGATCACTTGAAGATTTTTGACCTCATGTGGCTTTCTCCTAGATCACCTCTCTGTTCTTCAAGGAAAGAGCTTAGCCCTGGGAAAGCTTATGTACACCTCTGGTGTTTGGGAGAGGGGTTAGGATTGAGGTGGGCAGTGTCCCAGCCTTTCAGGGAGCAAAACCAACTCTGGTGGGAGGCTATCTAGCCATCCAACCAGCAGAACCTACACAGGCTGGACTAAAAGACCTTCAAACTCCTTGATGCATATTTGGGTGACTTAATATCTGGGACTTTTCCTTCCTTCCACCCATCCATCAGTTCCTTCCTTCCTTCTACCCATCTATCATTTCCTTCCTTCTCACATGAATCAAGCATATCCATGTACATGGATATTGCTCTGACTGGTAGCAGCTCTAGCTCCAGGTTAGGGGTCTTCCTTACTACCTCCAACCTGATGTTATTAAGTAAAGATGATAAGGATTCCATCTGGGATGTTATGCATGAAAACATGTGTTGAACAACTGAGCTGGGGAGGCTGTAGCTTGAACGTTTCCTTCTGCTGCCTTTCCCCTCACCCCCTGCATTACAAAAATCCAGTGATCATATTGGATGGTGGAATCTGGGAACTGTAGTTTCCCCCAAGTACCTCTCCCCAGGTCCTCTCTCCCCATGCAGGGAAGATTGTTCATTCATTAGTCATCTTTCTATTAATGAATCCCTGGCAAAACTCCCAAGAAAAACAAGAACACCCTTTTGAAAGCTTATGCAAATTGAGTTTTCTCACTCTTTCATACATACACTCATTTGCAACATGGAACTCCAGTAGATCTGCACTAAAAAGATCTTTTATTTATTCATCTGGATATTCACCTTACTAAAAGCATAATTGTTGCTCCCAGGAGATTTTCATTTTGCCAGCTATCTTTAAGCAATAAAGCGGGTGAAATCAGAAGCTATTAGCTGGGAGCACTGTAAGATTTTAAAGATCACCAGGTTTTGTGTCAACTGCAGCATTCAAGACTCTGCAAGTAAAATCCACTTTGCTCTTCTAATTAAATGTGTTACAACTGAAGCTAAAAGGTTAGGGACCATAGTTCCCGAAAATAATAACTGACATAAGAAAATGTTGAAGGAAAAAGAAGCTGGGACACCAGGGAACACAAAAATACACACAGAAAATCTTGTTCTGATGAGGGCCATTGATAATCAGTTCTGCTCTCTCATTTCAAACACATCCTATGCACGATGCACACAACATGGAATTCTACAGAATAGTAGAAGGAAAAAGATAAAGAAATAACCCTTTGCATTTGAAAAAAGCAAGGTTCTAGACTTTATGTTGAGAGAGAGAGAGAGAGCGAGAGGGAGAGAGAGCGCAAACGAAAACAGCCTTTACTTTGCTTTGAGAATCTCCTCTTGGAAATTCCACCGGGAATCTTCAACCAGCTGCAATTCCCGCAAAACACTCTCAGGTTTGTAAGCGGAGTTGATGACCAAGCTGAGAACCTGCAAAAAAGAGAGTAAAACAGAGGAACATTGCATGAAAAGGAAGTTGTACAAATTACAGGTGGCCCCGAACTGGTTTGTCCCAGTTTGTACAAGTGGTAGCACAGATATTGCTGCTCTTCTCCACCACCTCCTCAGCTGATTCGGCCACTCACCACATTCAGTTTGCTTGCTTGCTTTTCCCACCTCCTCGACCGATCTCCCAGTCACGAGCAAGAGCACAGACTTCTCCGCCCCGCCCTTTTCTCTGATTGGGAGATCAGCCAAGAGGGCGGGGCCAAGAAGCCTGAGCTGCTGCCGGGGCTGGGAGATCAGCTGAGGAGGTGCAGCTCCTGTGCTTTTGCCTTGATGAACTGGGACGAACCGGTTCGTGCCCATCTCTCATACTGATCTGTATTTTGGAAGAAAGCACGCTGGGTGGTAAATGATGCATGCTGCAAGCCCAAGGCCACAGGTTCTATTTCTGGCATTGCCAGTTCAAAGAATCAGGTTGCAAAGCATGAACATATAATTTTTAAAAAAGAATTATGTTGTGTGTTAATAACACATTGTGTTGAATTATGATTAAGCTGGCTATGTTACCTATTGTTCACAAGCTTGCAAGTATGGGCATTCCAGTATTTTTGCTTGTCTGGATTTCCAACCAGTGGAGTAGTGCAGCCAGGGTTCTCCTGGGACATTTTAATTAGCAGGAATAATGATATCACCCACCAGCGCATTTAGGCTTCTCTGTTCCCTCTTAGTTTAGCTGCAGTCCTCATAGTAATGTAGAGATACAGTGATGCCTCGCTTAGTGAGTGCTCCGTTTAGTGATGAAATCACTTTGCGACGAACTTTTTGTGATCGCAAAAGCGATTGCTTTGCGATGTTCTCTATGGGGGAATTTTGCTTTGCGATGATCGGTTCCCTGCTTCGGGAACCGATCATCGCAAAGCAACCATTTTCACACAGCTGATTGGCAGTTTCAAAATGGCCACCAGGTAAACAAAATGGCTACCCGCTGTTTTCTGGGACGGATTCCTTGCTTAAAAGGCACCGAAAATGGCTGCGCTATGGAGGATCTTCGCTGAACGGTGAGTTTTAAGCCCCTAGGAACGCATTAATCAGGTTTTAATGCGTTTCTATGGGCTTTTTAAGATCACATAGCGATGTTTTCGTTCAACAGCGATTTTTGCGGAACGAATTAACGTCGCAATGTGAGGCACCACTGTATTAAAAGAAAAAATTCCAGAAAAAACTTTTTTCACATGTATTACCAAAACTAGCCAGTAGAGGAGCCAGAGACTGTGGTCTTAATTGGGCAACTTAGAGTTATTAGCATTACAAAAGACCTGCTCCTCAGTTATTGATATGCATTGATCCAGCTTCTAGTATATTTGTTCTCTTCTTCTGGGTCCAGATGGCTGTAGGGATTATCACAATGAGCCTCTGCACTTGCAAATTTACTACTGCACCACTGCTTCCAACAGGTTATTGATAAAGAGTCATTGAGTCACAGAGTTGGAAGAGACCACTGAAGACATCCAGTCCAACCCCTTACCATGTGGGAACATCCATCAAAGTACTCCCAACAGATGGCCATCCAGCCTTTGCTGAAAAACCTCCAAAGAAGGAGACTCCACTACCCTTTGAGGCAGCCTATTCCATTGCCAGACAGCTCTGACCGTCAGGAAATTCCTCCTAATGTTCAGATGGAATCTCTTTTCCTGTAGTTTGAAACCACTGCTCCGTGTCCTAGTCTCTGGAGCCCTGGAAAACAAACTTGTCCCCTCTTCAACATGACTAAAAAGATGATGGTTCCGCTTACGAATATAAGATGCAGCAGGCCTCACGGCTTGGAAAAAACCATATACTGCACACATTATAGGCATGAAAAATATGGTGATTTAATTGTATAGCATGGGACAAAAAAGAACCATGTATTGTATGCAAAATCATACACATAATCAAATTACCGCCTTCCAGCCAAATCTTGTGCTTTGGTTTTGTTAGAATCTGTAAACTGAAAAGCTCAAACAAGAGCTTAAAACTCCTTTTGGGACATTTTTAACAGTGGTTCTCATTTCTTTGGCTTGCACATACAGGATATGTGGGTCTAAAAGACCAGCAGCTCTTTTTATCTTTATCCTAATCCAATCACCCCAAATACAGAAGTTTATAAAAAAATCATGATTGATCACTTCCCACAAAACATGGGTTTTCTTGCTAGGCAAGTCTTCATACTTTTTAGTTTTTACTGGTTCATACTCAGTTGCTTCATGTAGGAATGTAGTTTTCTTGGGGCTCACAAGGGAAGGAGGGAGAGAGCCGAGGGGGAGGGAGGGATGAATGTGATTTTTTTAAAGAAGGGTGTACCATTTGCACCGGGGTCCATAGTAAATCCAGCACTGGAAAAAAACAATCCTCTGTGGTGCCCCCTTCCCTTGTTGATGCCCTAAGCACATGCTTATTTTGATTATTGGTAATCCCAAGCTGTTTGCAGAACCTGGAAAAATTACTTTCGGGGGAAATACATGCTGGCTGGCTGGATTCCAGGAGCTCCAAACTAAAAACACAACCCTTGTTTATTCAGTATGTGGTAACAGGATTACCAGGCAAGCCTAAACATGATAGGATTGTAAAGCTTTTGGACGAGGTACAAAGTACAGAGAGAGAAGCCGTTTTTAAAGCTTTCCTGTCCCATGCTAAAATATAAAGGTGGGAGCAGATGGAACGCTCAGGCCACAGAAGTATTTTTGGAGGCAACCAGGTGACTTCCCAACAGAATTTAGATGTTTTCCCTTATGCAACAAAAGGTCCCATGGATAATAATAATAATAATAATAATAATAATAATAATAATAATAATAATAATAATAATAATAATAATAATAATAATAATAATAATAATAATAATAATAATAATAATAATAATAATAATAATAATAATAATAATAATAATAATAATAATAATAATAATAATAATAATAATAATAATAATAATAATAATAATAATAATAATAATAATAATAATAATAATTTATTGTCGTTGTAAGTATATACACAGTATACCAATACAACGAAATTCACAGACACCCAGAGACCAGACACATGCACGCACATAAAATTCCCCAAACACTCCCCACCCACTAAAAGTCCCCCACTAAAAATACAAACATCTACACCGCAGGCCAAGTAACACAGTCCAACTAATTATTCACTACTGGTGGTCTTTAAGCTCATTATTAATTGCAATTGTAGCTCTGGGATAGTCTTAAAGACTAATACGTATATTATGCCCTAAGCTTTATTAACTTGAAGTCTTTTCATGTGATAAACCTAAGTGCCACTGGACAATCTCCTTCCTTCCTCAGCATTTCCTTCCTTCCTTCCATCCATCAACAGCATTTCCTTACTTCCTTCCCTCCCTCCCTCCCATCATCAGCATTTCCTTCCTTCCATCCATCATCACCATTTCCTTCCTTCCATCCATTATCATTTCCCTCCTTCCATCCATCATCAGCATTTCCTTCCTCCCTGACTTACTCGGCTGTCCTTCTCCATAATTTCCCTGTAAGCCAGGGTTGGGCACAGCATGTCCCAAAGGCAGGATGTGACCCTTCAAGGGTGTTTCTACAGTCGTAAGGCTATATTTTTGGCAAGGCTGTTTCCTTCTTAAATAGGTCACACGCCTATTTAGTATCCCAGAATACCCATTATGTAAAGCCTGACCCTAACCCTGGATTCCAAGTGTGGCATAGTGTATAGAATGACAGACTCTGGAGAACAGGGTGCATATCCTCCATTGGCTACAGAAATTCACTGGGGAAGTGGAACTGGTCAAACCTTAAATATCTCACTCACCTTGAAAGCCTTATTGGAGTCGGTATAAGTTGGTTCCAACTTGACAGCCGAGAACATACACACAAGCCCAACCTCTTGCCCTCTCTAGCCTCCATTTCCCCCCATTTTTGTGCAAAACTGGCCTCCAGATCTACCATAGATGCCCACCCTTGCAGTACAGAACCATATGGGTCAAAGAGAGATTAGATTTCCCTCTGGCTCCAAAATCCAGCCTTTAGTCGCTGGGGAGAGGGGGCACCTCCTTCCCACAGTGACCGTGTTTCAGGCACTGACTGCAGCGGTTTATCGACACCACGATGTAAACCTGGCAAGACATGTTGAGAAGGGACAACAAAATGAGCCGCAGCAACTCGAAGGTGTGGAAATGAGCCCAAGCCTCACCTCTTTCAGAACCAGGACGCACTTGCCTGGCCCAACCGACTGAGGGAGCTCTGCCAGTCTTCCTTGGTTGAGGTGTGGTCCCGAGAAGCAGCGGTGGTTGACATAGAGCGTAGGACAGCTGTATCTCCCATTGAGGGTGCCTGGGGAGAGGAAGAAGAATCACAAGGTCATACGCGCTTCCTCCACCTTCACTTTGGCCCTCTTTCTCTCTTCTGGCCCCCCATCCGCCTCCTTGGAAACAAGGTGGGGGGAGAGGAACCAGGGAGTATCAAGCCAAGAGGCCAGCCTCACCATTAGCCTCTATAAATTTGCTTCTCCCCACTCAACCCTGGCAAGGCTCACGCAACTTTGGAGAACCCGGGCTTGTAGAGTTGAAGTCCCAAGACCACCTTTTTTATTTTTTGTTTTTATTTTTTTAACAACTAGGGATAAGGTAAGGAGTACAGAAGGTAGAGGGGGATATGGGGGGAAAAAGAGGGGGAAGAAGAACACAAAATGTACGGTCGTCCAATCTGTTCGTGTTGCGATATCAAGTCGATTTTCCGCCTTTCTACAATTTGATTGCCCTCTGGGTTTCAACTTAACAGTACATCTTAGTTTAATTCTATGTGATTCAAGCACTATTTGGTGACTCGAGCCGTTTGTATAATAAATCCCATCGTTCAGTTTCCGTTTGTATTGGACAGTCTTTCGACACTTCTGATAGAATATCAATTTCTGCCGCTTCCCGTATCTTTTCAATGAGTTCCTCTTGTTTTGGTATCTCCGATTTCTTCCAGTTCTTAGCATAAAGAATTCTGGCTGCAGTGACTATATATATAACTAGGTAGTTTTTTGTCTTATCTATATTGTTTGGTATAATGCTCAGTAAAAACAATTCTGGGGTTAGTGGAACATTACAAACCAATATTTTTTGTAACAGGGGATGTACAGTGGTGGCCCGCTTAACGATTACCCCGTATAATGATGAATCCGCTTCACAACGATGTTTCTGCGATCGCAAAACAATGTTTGAATGCGTTTTTTTCGCTTAGCAACGATCAGTTCCCTGCTTTGGGAACTGATTTTTCGCTTTATGACGATTTTCCAACAGCTGATCGTCGGGTTTCAAAATGGCCGCCACTGTGCAAAATGCCCCCCAGCTGTTTTTAGGACTGATTTTTCACTCTACGGGCATTGGAAAATGGCCGCCCTATGGAGGACCTTCACTGGACGATTAGGTATTTTGGCCATTTGAATGCATTAACTGGTTTTTAATGTGTTTCAATGGGTTTTTAAATTTTGTTTGATGACAATTTCGCTCTACAGTGATTTCGCTGGAATGAATTAACATTGTCAAGCGAGGTACCACTGTACTACTATCCAATACTGTTTTGCTACTCTAAAAGTCCACCACTAAAAGCTTCCCTCTTCTGCTCCACACTTTCAACAAACATTTGACACTTCTATATAAATCTTTGACAATTTTTCCAGAGTCATACGCCAAGACCCAGGACCTTCTGATTAGTAGCCACCTTCTGGCACGCCACCCCCCCGGCTTCCATTCCTTCTACATTTAGCTGCAATCCTCACAGTGGCCGGGATAGAAAAGAAGTTGACAAGGAACAGAATATTGCTACAAGTGATGGTTGCGGTCATGAAAAGTATTTGAGGGTGCATTGGTCTTGGATGGCTTTGCACATCTGAAGAGCCATCAGCTTTACAAAAGACCCGTCCCTCATTTGTTAATACAGAGCAATGCCGATGCCTGTATTTTTGACTCTCCTGGGAGTCAAAAGCTATGTGGGCCATCAGGATGAGCGTTGGCATTTCCAGATCTACCACTACACCACTGTGTGCAGCTCTCTGGAGTGGGATTTCAGCTTCATCATCTACAGCCACCACCTTCTCGCCGCTATCCAAAGAAGAGATGATGTAGCAGCAGAAGGAGCAGCAGCAACAGCATGGGGAGGAGGGCCCCATCCCCACTATCCTCCAAGGGCAGGGCAGTGGAGGAGGAGGCTGCTGTGGCCACCTCCTCCACGGCTCCTTCATCATCATCATCTCCCCTGTTGCAGTGAACCTCCTTCTCTGCTACATCACCACCACAGCATCCTTCTCTTGTTTTGGAAGGGGTTGTGCATGTGTGTGTTTCACAACAATCCCCTGGGGAAGGCAGGAATTCAGACCTTCTTTCGTGCTGTAGCTACCCCGGAATAATGTTTTTCACAACGCCAAGAGATGCCTTCATACCACAACTCATTTGGAAACATGCCTATAAGCAGAATGGGATTCATCATCACCCATGCATAACAAATGTTTGGAAGTGACACATTAGAAGAAGTGATGTTGCCGATAATGCATTACTTTAAGGGATAATTACAAGCTAACAGCTTTCAGAGTTTTATAACTGATCATTAATGAATGCTAATACTACCTTTTTGAACAAATAAGGCATATTTGCTTCTTTTCCCTTTTTTTTGGTTTGGTGCCATTTCTGTATGTTTAAAGTGCTTTTTGAAATGGTAGCATGCCCGTAAAGTATAATTAAGAAGTGCGATAACACATTAGTGTCTGTCCTGTGAGTAACAAGTAACAAATTAACTTTTTTTCAAAAAAAAAGTCATACCAGTGTATTTGCTTGTGAAAAATAAAGCTCGAAGCAGACTGGAACAGCAAGCTGGAAAAAGATACCACATACTGAAGATATCTGAAACATCTTGGTCACACGCACAATGAGCTAAGGGTGCGGTTACACTGTAAATATGTATCGATTTCGGCTCCAATGTATTTTGAATTAATTTTCAATAATGTGGTGTTTGTATTGCTATGTGCATTTACTTTGAAAATTATTGCTTCGATATAAAGTAGGGGCTTAAAACCACTTTGGGAAGCTACACGTGAGATTTTAAATTGTTTCATTGCCCAGAATGTTTGCAGAGTGAAAGGTTTCGATTGTTACTGATCCTGGTGTATCGCCAATGTTTGCAACCTTCTCTTTCCCATTTCTTTCCAATGTTGTGCGATGTCTATTTATTTATTTAATTTATATCCCGCCCATCTAGGCCGATGTCTACTCTGGGTGGCTAACAATGAATTCATAAAACAATTTCATAAAAACAATAGCAGTATAAAATAGCAACAGTATAATATAATTCAAGATGGCAAAAAGAATTAAATACTGACTGGCTTCAGCCTGCTCTTCGCAGTATTTTTTTTTATTTTCAGTCATCCTGTGCATTTCTCTCTCTTTTTAAAACAAATTTTAAGTGACATAGCAACATATTCGCGAAGGCTTTCATGGCAGGGATCTAATGGTTGTTGTGGGTTTTTCGGGCTCTTTGGCCGTGTTCTGAAGGTTGTTCTTCCCTAACGTTTCGCCAGTCTCTGTGGCCATGGGCATCTTCAGAGGACAGCAACCTGTGCAGAGCCCGAAAAACCCACAACCATGACATAGCAACCTTAGTTTAGAAACCTGCAACCACCCACAGAGTTTCTCAGGTAGCAGATTTCAGGCGTCACAGAACACCTGTCACTTGTTATTTAATTTGTTCATTTATTTTATTTTATGCCACCTTTCTCCCTTACTGGGAACCCAAGGAAGTAGACAAAAAAGTGAAAATCAACATTAAATTAATAGAAACTGACTAAGATTTTAAACTGTTATTCATACAGCCACACACCCACACAGACACTTTTGAAATGTTATTTTAAAATTACCAAATTCTAAAAAAAAACACCTCTCCAAAATCCTCTCTGAAGAGGTATGTTTTCAGCTCTTAGCAGAAGGAAAGGCACCAACAGCAAAATCCATTCCCCCGCTTTATTTTATTTTTTTTGCAAAATAAGCTATTTTGGCATTAAATCATAGATTGGTCATAGCTTGGATGAAATCTGCTTTAAGAACCTCAAGCACTGCACGGTGCATCTTTCTTAACCATCATCAGTCCTTCTGTGCTTGACATAAGTGTGCTCTGCTGCTCAAAGAGAAAGGATGCGAGACCCACTATGGACACATACACCACGGGGCGGGGGGGGGAAGAGAAGAGAGCTCTCTTTTTTGCTCTCACTTGCGGGTAAAAAGCTTCCCCTTGACATTGAGTCCAGTCGTGTCCGACTCTAGGGGGCGGTGCTCATTCCCGTCTCCAAGCCGCAGAGCCAGTGTTTGTCCATAGACAGTTTCCGTGGTCACGTGGCTAGCACCACTAGACACGGAATGCCATTTTTACACGCTTTCGAACGTCTAGGTGGGCAGGAGGTGGGACAAGCGACGGGAGCTCACTCCATCGCGTGGATTCGATCTTATGACGGCTGGTCTTCTGACCTTCCAGCACAGAGGCTTCTGCGGTTTAACCCACAGTGCCACCACGCCCCTTACACTTGCAGGTCAGGAAGCTTTAAAATACCCCGTTCAACAAGAATGAGAAATTTAGCAAGTACCCTTTCCGTTCTGACAACAGATAACTTATCTTTACCAAAAAGTTACAGCTTGAAATGCCATGTCTGCATTCTGTGGGATCTAGATATTTGGCGAGGCACTTCACGTTGTCAGCAAGAGAGGCTGACTGTATTTCCGTGAGGCACGACAGAGAATTCCAATCACTTCACGGCCGTTAAAATGGCATTAATGTCGCGTAGATACTCTCAGGGGGAAACAAAGCTAACAATGCTCATCTTGGCTCTTCTTCCTTCAGTTCAAGATGTGTCAGGATTAGAATCCCCAACTAGGGCTTTATTGAAGAATAGCTTGTAGAATGAGTGCACACCAAAAATGCTAAGTTATACGATCAGTTAATGATGGTGCATTTCCTACTTTGTTCCACAATGGCCAGGATTTGTATAAAGGTCTCCACATGGATCGCTCTTTTCACAGCATGATTAGTAGAGACAAAACATCTGGATTTTTTTTGCACTGCAATTCCCTTCCCCAATTATCCAATCTTCATCCATCATCATCATTTCAGAACTGCAGAGATGGGACAAAACATCTGAATTTTTTTTGCACTGCAATTCCCTCCCCCAATTATCCAATCATCATCCATCATCATCATCATTTTAGAACTGCAGAGCTGGAAGGGACCCTCTGGGTCATCAAGTCCAGCCCCTGTCTAGGAGGCCTAGGGGGGAATTGAACTCTCAACCTTTGGCTCTGCAGCCAGACGCCTAAACCACTGAACTATCCATGCAGAATTCTGAGAGATACTGCTGCAGAGTTTTTGAATTTCTGTAATATTCTCTTTTTTGCTACACAGTAGATGTACAGAGATTCACAGAGGAGAAAAGAGCGTCATGTTCCCCAGAGTAACATCCCTTTTCTCATTAACTGGCACTTAAATTTTCAACAACTCATTCAGAGATATTTGCAGGAAAAAGAATACAAAGCTTTTCTTTACTTACAGGGGCTTGAAATTACAGGCATGGGTGTATTGCTTTCTTTATTGCACACACACTTAGCAACCAACCAAATAGATCAACAACACCAAAACAACTGCCATTAATTGACAAAAGAGAGGGATAGAACACTCAGCAGAGAGGCGGGTCTCTCTCTTTGAATTCAAAAATTGGAAGGAACTATTGGTTAGTGCTGGATAGATAGACAATCACCCCAGCCCCCCAGCCCAGAAAAAGCCCTCCCGGACATTCAAACCAGAGACAACATGCAAGTTTATAAATGAAATTCGAACAATCCAAAAAATCGAAAGTCCTATCCTTGATCTTTAGCACTCAAACATCATCCATCCATCCATCCATCCATCCATCCATCCATCCATCCATCCATCCTTCCTTCCTTCCTTCCTTCCTTCCTTCCTTCCTTCCTTCCTTC